GGCCAAGGACTTACTGCTCACTGCTCACTGCCCTTCTGCAAGTCCTTCGTCGAGATCCTGCCGGAAGCGAGCGCTCGTAAATTACCTGAATAATGCAAAATAACAATATTTAACCCATTGTTCTCGTTCTCGCAGGTGTTTTATTTTGGTTTCTCTTTTTCCTTCTCTGAAGCAGATAATCTGTTCCAGGCTTAAATGGAATTTTAATTATTTCAAGCAACCAAAAGAACTTGAGGCCCTTTTTTCGACCAGTGGAGCTGGGATAGGATAGTGGCTGTCGGAAGCTGAGCTGCGCTTTGGTTGCTATAATTTAATGTGAAAACTAAAAGGGAATTTCAGTTTTTAAAAGGATAATTAATAGGGTTTCTTAAGGGTTAATTTCTGTATAGAAAGATCTTTAGTTTTTGTAATTTTTATAAATATTTTTTTCAGGAATTTAAAACTAATATTTGTCTGTTTTTTTATGGAAACTTTGATTCATTTTCTAAATTTTCTAAAATTCCCAATTTAAGCTACTTTCTGGTTTTACCTCTTTAGGGAGACACACAAAAGGCCTTTCAATTGAATTAACTTTAAAGTTTATAATTAAAACAATAATTTATAAGTATTTCCGCACTTAATGCCGCGCTTTGTGTTTACATCAAAGACGACCATTGTGCCATAACAACGCCGAAACTTGCAATGCAGACAAATAAGAAGGCTATATACTCGAATAAGTCTATATAAAGGATATATATATAATGGATATATATATATATAAAGCTGAGAACATCGATAAATGATGATGTTCATTATGTGCGGCGCGTCTTTTGCGATTTAATTAAAGCCCGTTAAGGGCAAGGTGTGTGAGTGTGGAGGACGGAGGGCGGACAGCGGAGATTGAAGGGCAGGAGGCAATCGGAATTGGAGGTGATGGCTTCGCATGTTGGCCAGCGATTTTTCAGCCAAGTAAGACAGAGACAGAGACAGAGAGAGTGAGAGCAAGAGGGGGGTGCCAGGAAACAGAAGAAGATAGCATCATCGACATCATCGATGAATTGCCGTTGCCATTTAATAGCCGATGATGCCGACCGATTGCTCTGTTTCCCACTCCCCCATGTCTCTGTCCCACCCATACTTCTCTTACCATCTCTTTCGCTACTCTATATAGTATGTATAGCCCCGTCTCTTTCATTCCAAGCGACAGTGCCAACGCCACGTTCCAGTTTGTTGCTGCCATCGTGCACGTAATTTCCGTTTCCGTTTCAGCGAACGGCAGCCGGTGACACGCGACAGCTGTTTGCACATACTTAACGCACACACACGCACGCACGCATGGCAAGGCGCATCCTTACACTGCAAGAAATATATATATGACTAATTAATAAATGGTATTTCGTAAAAAGCTTAAAAGGTAAACTCATAAATGAAAGTTTTCTATCTGCTTTGAGATTTTAAGTTGAAGTTTTGAGTAAAGAACATCAATTTCTCTCTGTGTACTCACGCACACTCGCGCATTGGCTGACTTACATGTCCTTGGTTTGTTTGTATTTGTGTTACTATGCCATTGACTGCGAATCGGAGCGTGAAGGCCATTACAAGTCTGATTATATTGAATCAAAGATTCAATATTTAAAATTGCACGCACACAACTCACACACACACACACACAGCTAACACACACAGCCGCACATCAGTTCCGCTTTTCCCCGATGTTAACCGTTTTTGCGGCCCCATCAGGAAAATATATATATATATATATCTGTATAAATTGTAAATGTTTGTCTGCGCGTGTTGCTTTATGAGGAATCGAGGTGGAAATGAGTCACTGAATTGGGGGAAAAGTGGGAGGAAAGTGGGAGGGGGTTAAAGCGAAAGCTGGAGAACTGGAGTTTTCCTGACTCGCCAACGGAGTCAGGCGGAAAGAGCAAACAATTTTAAATTATTGTTCAAGCACAACCGAGAAGTCAATATTAATAAGTGAACAATTTGGCAAGTTCATTTCAGCATTTCATATTTCCAAAAGGGAAAATAAGTATGTGCGGCTGCCAAATTGACATTATTGTTGGAAATTAACTTAATCAGCTTAAATAAGAAGAGTGTGTTTAAGTCTTAAGACAGCTGTTATTGATTGGCTTTTGATATTATTACTAAGCAGTGGGAAATAATGTGTGTAAAATGAAAACAAGATTTAAGTTACTAAACCGATGAAAGAAACTTGAACTTGAACTTGAACTTCATCAAGAAGAAAATATAGAAATTGTAACTAAATACCATGACTGATATTTTCCTTAATTACCTTTCAAGTTTCCCTTCAAAATTCACCAACAAAAATCCATTTAATAAAAGAAATATGAAATTTCAAATAATTCTCTTACGTTTTTCAGCTTCTCCTTCGCCATTTAAAACCATTTTTGTAGAAGACAAAACGATATCCTACCCCAAAGGGGTGCCAGAAAAAAGAGTTTTCCCTTTTGCATTCCCGTCAACCATTATGAAACCAAGAACAAACGAGGATTTCCCGCACTTAATTGTTATCTTTGCATAAGCATGAGCAAAACAATTGCCATTTAATCGCAATGAAAACGAACTTTTCGGGTCTTTTCAGCAAGGAAATTTAATTACACAACCACTTGCTGTTGCCGCCAAGAGTGAAAGTGAAAGTGAAAATGAAAGTGATGAGGAGTATGCCTGGCAAAGTGCTAAGCAATAGGGATAATCCGAAAGGCTTCGCAAGCAGCTCGCCAGCTTAGCACGCCAAACATTGTAAGCCAAAGGCATGACAGAGTTTTTTTTCTTACCCAACACACTTTTCCCGCTCCTCCTTCAATGTTGTAATTACACATGTGTGTGTGTGTGTGTGTGTGTGAGAGAGATTATTGTCATTGTGAATGTTATTTTTATTTGCACGTCAACCGCAAACTCATCCGAGTGAAATTGAAGCAAAAACAAGGCTTAACATCTTAAGGCGGCGCATTGTGGGAGCCTTGCAAACTGATGACAACGCTTGAGGTTCCACCCCCATTTTCCACTGCCTTTTTTTTTTTTTTGGTCAAAGCACTGAAAGAAATAAGTATTAGATGGGTAAAGTTTATAGAAAATGTAAAATTAACTTATAGAATAACATTTTTAAGAGCCTAACAGCCTAACCTAACAAGCTTCTATACTTACCTTTCATTTTTCTTGCTTTTTCAATCTCCAAAAGTTTTATAGTTTTCCTCTTACTGTACACCGCATTTCCATTTCTCCATCCTTTGTTGCCGCATTTTGCATTTGGGCTATAATTGTTTGTTTGTTTATTTTAGCCTGCCACCTGGCTGCCTGGAGATTAGCAGAAAGATTTGATGAGCACACGCTGGGTGGTAACAGCAGGATTCACCCAGCAGCAGGACATTGGGTGTGGGTGGTTGTGGGCTGAAGAGTGGGTAATGCCGAGGTGAGTTTCTAGAAATATTGCGCCAGCAAAAATAATTCACTGCAATTATATGGAAATGTAAGCTGTAAGTTCCTTTGCCAGTTCGAGTGTTTGTTAGACTGTTTAACTACCAGCAGGAAAGTGTGGTTGGGTTGGGATACTTTATCGACTTCAGGGATACCCTATAGAAAGGTATTTAGAAAGTAGATTAAGGATTAATCAAGGAGTATCTGTGTTAGTAGCTTGCTAAGTACTTTTCACATTAGATTTAAGTTTATATCACAAAATGATTCTTTTTTTTTGCCAGATTTAAGTAAACTTTACAGATCTAGCATATATATACTATATAGACTTATCTTTTCCTTAGCTACTTCCAAATAGATTTCCCTAAACATACCCTTTGATAACCCCGCTTAAGCTTGGCGCATTCATAAACCTTTTTACTTCTCATTTTTTCTCATTTCTGTTTGGCAATTTTGTGTAATTGAAAAGCGCTGAGCGGCTGGGAATTCTGCAGTGTTGAAGTGCCCGAAAATGGGGGCGGCGGGACAAAGTGAAAGAGGGGGGGTGGGAGGTAGAGGGTAGCTGCTGGCGAAAGTAGCAAAGGAAAGTAAGGGAAAGTAAAGCAAAGCGTAGCAAAGTTTACTTATCATGGCAATGCCGCCATATCCGCCTGGTAATCGAAATTTGCAAAAAGGGATATAGGGATATGTGAACAGGCAGACACTGAAATGTACACTGTAAGAAAAAAAGGGTGTAGTTAAGTTGGTAAGTTTTAAGATTAAATTTAACTTATCTCTGTCTCTCTTAGATATTTCTGGCTCTATTTTTGGCACAACTCCTTCAGCTGAGAGCTTAACTTCAGTTTACTAAAAAGATCTTTCGATTTTCTCTCAGTGCACTGATTACTGCACACGTGTACGTGCGTTTAGCAGGTGTTTTTGGCCTCTTCTGTTGCCCTCGCCTGAAATATTCATTTGCATCTGAGGAAATTGTTTTGGTTTTCAGTTCTTTCCCCTTTTCTTCTTCCCAGCTCATTGAGATTTTCTGGGCATTGTGCGGTGAATGATGCCATAGGTTTTTCCATTCTTTTCTTTCTTTTTTTTTCGATACCCAAGAAATAGAATTGAAAAATTCAGCTTAAAAGTGCAAATCATGGCCAGAAGTTTACGCAAAATTGGAGAATGGCAGCAGGAAGGATTCTTCGGATTCCGCAAAACATTCCACCTTCTCAGTGGGCGGAAGGAAAGGGGAAAAGTGAAAGCAGAAAACACTCGGTGCGGTTTGAATTTCTGGTTTTGGGTGCGCTGGCCACATTCCCCATCCTGCCATAATTGGCCAATTGTCGGTGTCATTAACATGCCTGTCATTATTGGCAATGCCAGAGCTTTGGACTGCGGAATGGGCCCGCAATCTCCTGAATATTTCATCAACTCTCCTGACAACAACGACAACGAGCAACACAAACGACAAACCGACAACTGACGGCCAACAATGACAACGTTAAACATCAAATACAACGACACACAAAAGGTGTTTAAAAATTAAATTAAAGTTAAAAGCTCACAAAATAATGAAATGAGCGAAATGAGCAAAGTACTCACACAAAGTGGTTAAAAACGTGGCTGTGGCAGAGTCGGGTGTGGCAACAACAAATAACCATTACAGTAGCCCATCCACTGAAAGAAAAGAAGGAGGAAGTTGTGACTTTGGTGGGGTTTATAGGTTAACCAGACTTAAATCTAATTTCTATGCTGCTATCTGTGTAAAATGGTTTGAGGAAAGGTGACTAACTTTTAAGTTTTAACTTTAAAATTAGTTTTTTAAATTTATAAAAAATACTTAGTAAATTTTAAGTTAAGAAATCCTATAAATATGGTCTAAAATATTCATTTTTAGCCTAGCCAAAGCCTATCTCAAACTTTCCTCAGCCTTTTTTGAGCCTTTAAACCTAGTTTATAATTTCTAAATCTGAGATATAATCCCCCTTTTTCTCCAAGTGCAACAGGAAGGACAGCAACAGCAACAACAATAGCAACAAAAAAAAAACACAACAAATAGTAGCGTGCGGCAGTAACAATAAAATCGCGGTGACAATTCAATTAAAATATTTCTGCATAAATTTTCAACGCTTGCAAAAAGCCGCTTGAGTAGCCGCAAAAGCATGAAAAGCCTGTGGGCGGCAAAAATTCCCAGGGGCTGTACAACCCCCCCAAACCCCCTTTTCTGATGGATGGAAAATTACCCAAGGAGTGAGTGAGAGCGATTGAGAGCGAAACAAACAATCAAACCGCAACGCCTATCGGGGTAGGAAGTGAATGATTGAATGACAATTGCATTTGCTCGGCTCTGTTCCTGCCCAGTTTATGCGGTGCAAAGTTCACGGAAAATGGAAAATTGAGTGGAAAATGGAGTGAGAAAATGTGGAAAAACGGGACAAACCTGGGCGGGGGAAATGTCGGAAGTGACTGGCAAGCAATTAAGGACCAATTGAAAAGCAAACCGCACCTGCAAAAGGGCCTTCTTCGCCGTTCGTTGTCATTCTTAAAGTCGTTCAGGAAGTAGTGAAGATTGGCAGGAAATAACAAGGAAAACTATAAAGGGAATTAAGTTGCGTTTTTGCACTGTCAATTATTCAGAAAATTTTAATTAAAAAGTCGACTTAAAATGTTTGTTTCTTTTTTAAATTGATTTTTAGTATTTACTTTTGAGTTTTTTTAATGTTTTTTAAAGGTCATTTTGTGGTTCAGAGATGGTAGGAAATAAATGTTTATTCAGTTTTTATATAGTTTTATAAGCTGACTTAACTATTAACTACTTTTCAGCAGCTTTCTTGTTAGTTTACCAATAAAATGTTGGAGGAAAATAAGTTAAGCTTATAAGAACAGTTACTACACTTTGATCTTAGAGGGTTGAGGCTCAGAAGTGATTAAGGAAAATTTGTACTTAAACTTAAGCTAAAGAAGAACTTTTATATTTATGATTTATCAGCTACCCAAAGTAGATATTTAGCAGTTAAGCTAAAAAAATGAATAGTTTTGAACTTACCTAAAATGATTTTAGGCTTCCTTACACGTTATTTCCATACCAACACCATTTCCATCCAACTGTAAAAACAGCATTAATAGGCAAAGTTAGTGAGAAATTTTCCTACAAAAACAAAGAAGGTTAATTTAAAAGAGTAAAAATAAGATTAGTTAAAGTAGATTTTTAGAAAAATGAATAGTTTTGAACTTATCTAAAATGATTTTAGGCTTCTTTATACCTTATTTTCTGTTTAATTTAACAATAAAAGCACCATTAAAAGGCCAAGTTAGTGAGAAATTTGATCATATAAATGAAAGAAAGTTAATGTCAAAGACTCAGACTAAAAATAAGCCTAGTTAAAGTTTGATTAATAATATTAACATACTTTTTCAGCTAGATAAAGTAGATTTTTAACATATATTAAATGATTTTAGCCTCCTTCATAGATTATTTCCTGTTTAATTTAACAATAAATACAGCATTAAAAAGCAAAGTTAGTAAGAGATTTCCCCTATAAAAAGATGAAAACTTAGTTTAGACTCAAGATTCAGATTAAAAATAAGCTTAATTTTAACAATAAAAACTACTTAAAAAAGCAAAGTTAGTAAGAGATTTCCCCTAGAAAAAGATGATAGAAAATATGATGAAAAATAAGCTTAATTTTGACAATAAAAACTACTTTAAAAAGCAAAAGTTGGCAAGAGATTTTCCTACAAAAAGATGACAACTTAGTAAGTTTCAAGTTAGAAATTAACAGAGCAAAAACAATCTTAGTTTTAACAATAAAACCCCATTAAAAATCAAAGTTAGTAAGAAATTTCCCTACATCAAGATGATAGCTCAGTAAGTTAAGATCACGCAGTAAAAATAAGCTTAGTTTCAGTTTGATTAATAATAATCTAATACCTCTCCTATATCCCCTTCCCAAAACCAAAAAAAAACTCAAGCCTATTGTTTTCCACCCATTTTCCCTGTTCATAACTTAACCAGGCCATAAACATCCGGCCTGATGGACCAAAAATATGTGCCTGCTGTACGTACCAAAAACGCATTGTCAAGTGGTAGCTGCTCACTGTTCGCTGCTCGTTGGCCTTAAGCTCGTTGACAAATTTTTTAGAGCCACGTATCCGCCGAATAACGTATCCTCGCCAAATTCATGCTTTATTGTCGCTGGCAGGCGATGCGTACATAGAAATGATAACAATAAAATATAGCCAAAAAAAAACTAGAAAAGCTTACGAATTTTCACCCGCAAATTGTCCGCACTATCCTGTCGCAAGTTCCGTTTTGTGGGTGTATGTGTGTTTGAGTTTGCATCCTGTTCGTCCTTGCTGCTCGTTCACATTGTCACCGACAGCAACAACAACAACAACAACAACACTAACAGCAACAACAAGACCGCATTTTGCGGTTTTTGACAATTCGTCAGACATTGTTGACACAGTGTCTGAGAAGGTTCGTTGTCGCTGTCGTCCAATGCGGTTGCTTGGATTGTCCGCTACACGTTTCCTCCTCAGTTACTTCGAGCTTGTTTCCAGAAAAAAAAATACCCTGTAAAAGAGAGGCTTAAGGGGGGTATACAGTAGACAATCTTACAGAAGTTACACTCACGATTTTTTTGCTAGAAAAAAGAATTCTTAAAGGCCTTACAAGAATACTTCCTTTTGCCTGACTTTCCCTAGTTAAGAGCTGAACTTTAGTCTTTGTAAAACACATTTTCCCATATTATATAATAAAAAAAAAAGAGGATATAAAGTAACCAGGTATTGGTTAGCTCAAAAAACCCGTCTTAAAACATTTTGTAAGGTCTGCCGGAGACGGCAGCACGTTGAAACCACAGGTGAGATTTGTTCAGTTTATTTATTTCATTTCACTTGATATTTTCCGTTGGCTTTTGGAAAATTCAACTGGCATTTGGCAATTAGATTTATTGCCGGTCGGAAAAGTTTCAAAGTTCAAAGCTCAAAAGAAGCCATAGTTTTCCGCTCTGAGACGCTTGAAAATTTGAAAAATTAATTGAGAAATTTGGTTTTTCGCTTGGGAATTTCTTTTTTTTTTTTGGAAAAAAAAAGCTTAAGGAAAAGCCCTGAAAACCTAAAAAAAAACCTTAAAAAATCTGAAAAACAGATTTTTGCATTTTTCATAATAAAATTTCAAATGTGAATGGAAAATTTGTAAAGTTTTCTTTTGCTTATTTTTAACATTCCAATGGCAGGGCAGAAGCTTAGTTTTCGTTTCGCTAAATCCCTTGTAAAACAACTTTAGTTATTCACCGTTTTCCGTTTTTGTTGTTAACAATTTTTGTAGTTATTGTTATTGTTGTTGTCTCTTTTGTTTGTTTATAGTTTTGGGGTTTGGGTCTTGTTTCGTTTACCTTTTGTTTTGATTTTGGCCCTCACCTGCGCTGGCTGGGCAGCGTTCTGTGTGTAAGCCCTTTGTAAGTCGCTTCATTTCGCTTTTGTTGCCGTGCTGCTCGCTAGCTTGCCGTTTAACCCTCTCATACTATACCAACAGACCCCAAACCCCCCCCATCACCCCCCCCGCGCATCATTTGGCAGGACACATGGAAAGTCCTTTTCCGCTGAGCACTTTCGGCAGACATGTTTTATGCCACCTGCTGTTGTTGCCGCTGCGGTTCCAAACACTCTCTTTCTGTGTTGTCTGTTGCTTTCGGGTTGGGGTTCGGGTTTTGGTTTTTTGGTTTTTGGTTCTTTGGTTTTTCAGTCCCCATGGCTTAAATGGTTACATCCTTTTTTTATATTCACAGCTTCGGTCGTTATGAATTTTTCAATTTTCTGCAATTTTTGCCATACCCAAAAAAATGTTGCCGCTGTCAGTTGTTGCTTCTCTGATTGCTGTTGCTGTTGCTGTTGTCGTTCCTGTTGCCGTTGCATTTGTGCAACTTGTTATTGCTCTTGCTACTGTTGCTGCTGTTGCTTTTAGTGTTGCTGCTCCTGCTGCTGCTGTTGTTAACTTTGTTATGGTTGCTGGCATTGCCCCCCCCTCTAGCAATTGCAGCCTTTTCTGCCGGATTTGATGTTGCTCTTGACACTAATGTTGCCACTGTTGCTGCTGCTGCTGTTGCTTAGGCTGAGATTGTTGCTGTTGCAGCTGTTCTTGCAATTAATTATCACTGTTTTTCCTGGTAAACCTTTTTTTCTAAGTCAAGATTCGGTGATGGTTGTAGTTACTTTGCTTTTTTTACATCATTTTTGGCCTGTTTAGGCTTTTACCTTCTTTTAAGCTTCTTAGTTTTTAGCTTAAAAACATGAAATTAAAATATTAATTAGTTTATAGAATATGATTCTTAATTAATGTATTAACTTCTTACCTGATTTGTAGTTTAGTTCTTCTAAAAATTTAGTAATTATAGCCACGCAGCTAACTGCCTTTGTTGACGTTTTAGATGTTGCTGCTGTTGCAATTAAGGTTGCTGCTGGCATTGCTTTTGCTGCTGCCATTACTGTGGTTCTTGTTGTTGTTATAGTAGATGTTGCAAGAGTAGTCCTTGTTAATTTTGGTGCGGATGTTACTGTTGTTTTTCCACTCCCACTGATGGCTGTGTTATCGCTGATGTTGCTGCTGTTGCTGCTGTTTTTGTAGCTGCAATTCGCGTTGCTGTTGGACACTCTGGTTTTACAATTGCTGCCGTGCAGCATTTTCAGGTATTTAATAGTTGTCGAGTTCATTTGCAATATGCCAGCCGGCGGCAGCCAAATGTATGGTAGAACATTAAGGGGGGGCGGGAGTGGGAGTGGGAGTGGGAGTGAGAGGGATGGGGCCACAGGCAAGTCAACTGAAAAATGGCCAAATTCAGGAGGCGGGAGTTGGGCATTGTTTCTTTAATAGGCCGCTGGCCATGTGGCCACGCGGTTCACCATCTCTTTAGGGCACTGAAAGAAAAGATAGAGTTGGAAAATAAATCATAGAAATTTTATAGAAATTGTTAGATTTTCAGGTTAAAAGAGAAGTTTTTGGTAAGGAAAAACTTGAAATAAAAATGAATATAAAATATGATTAAGTAAGTTTTCTAGCTTATCTTTATCATATCTCTTTGTTTTACCCCAAAACCCAACCTTTAAAGTTGCAAAAGACAAACCTATATTTTCTCTCAAGGTACTTATTTACTGGATTCCTGGCTACCTGGATTCCCAGCTTGAATTGCCATCGACAGGTGCTCATTGCATTCATAGTGAAGGCCCTCAGTAAAGCAGTCATTGTCCTGAATGTGCTTAGGATTCCCTGTCTGTGTCTATGTGTGTGTGTGTGTGTGTGTCTAAGTGTGTATGTTTGAGTGTGCAGGATTGCAGGCATTATGCGACTTGATTGTCCTTTTCGGTTTTTGTGGTTTTCGTTTTTCATTTGGCAAACTTTAGCCCAGATATAGACCAGAGTCGAGTTTACCAATTATCAAAAATAGAATTTTAATTATACATTCGAAATTTGTATGGGGGCTTTATGAAATTGTAAAGTTTCTCGCTCTGAAAATTTACCCTTTTAAGGAAAGAAAAAAAGAAAACAAGAAACTTTTCGTTGCGAAATTTTTGTTTGTTTGTTTGTTTTGGATTGAATGGGTTTAAGGCTTGTGATTCCTTTGGGTTTTTGTGGACTTTCAAGTACTTAAATGCTTAGAGGAAACTTACTCAACTTGCCAATCGACACTGATAGGGGGAGTAGGTAAATATGGCTAAATGGTGCGGGAAATCTACTCATGAAAATGATACTGACTTATGATAAAATAATTAATGAATGCCTCTTATAACTAATTTTCATGGAAATCAAATCATTTTTTTTGAATATTTTCAACTAATAAATTCTGAGGAATATCATATATCTATACCCTTAAATATCACATTACCCTAAATCACAAAATAACAATGTTAAATAAATATTTAATATAGATTTTCCGCATTTATTAACATCAAAGTTTAAGCAATTACTCAACGCATTTTCGCATTGACAATGCCACATTTGCATGGACAATGACTGGTAATTGAACTTACAATTTGTTAAGGTTATTATGTTCATAATTTATTTCAAATATATTACATGATCGTAAATAACGAAATCGCTTTGGGGTGGGGAAAGGCAAGGAGGGTTTCCCTTTCAAAATGAACAAACATTTTCGTGTAAATATTCAAATAAATGAAAATGGAAAAGCTGGCAAAGAGAGACGAGTCATTTGTAGTCTTCGTTAACGGCAAACACGAACAATTATATCCTGAAAAGATATCCCTGGATATCCTTAGCTTGAGCTTGGCCCAAAACTCGTTGATTATGTAATTAAGGCTTCGGATTTTGTCTTTTTGCATTTTGGGCAATGTCCTTTTTGGCTCCTTGGAGACGGACAACTGATTAATAATTGCAATGCTCGATTGACACTTAATAGCGTTGATTGCGAATAAATTTGTGTCTGGCCAGGCGGGAAAGTTTCATTCTATTTTTCTCAGTTGCTCAGTTTCTCTCAGTTTCGGAATTCTGAGTCCTTTGGGTCCTTCGCATATCCTTGTTATTACGGTTATGACTCGAACATTGCTGCTAATCACACTCGGTGGCATTACACATACATACATTGGATTCGAAAGGCAAATAATAAACGCAGAGGAGATGTCAGATGGGTGGCAAGTTGGGGGGGGGGCTGGGGGTGTGGCTTATACTTACTGCTCGGCCAAATTATTCCTTATTGAGGCAACAGGCAGTAGCAGCAGCTGCCAGGATTGCCATTGTTGTTGTTGTTGTGTGTGTGTGTGTGTGTGTGTGGGAGGGGGATGTGGCATGTGGGTTCTGGATTGTGGGTGTTTTTCTTGTTCGCATCTTACTCATTTGGTTGTAACTCTGGCAACCTTTGACCGCCTTTCGCTGTTGTTTCTCTTGTTGCCGCTGTTGCCGTTGTTGCCCTGTGGCCTGTGGAAGCGGCAAAATAGCAAAATAGAACAGCAAATTGAAGCAAAGGAACGTCTCGCACTCGTCCCCCTCCCCCTTCCTCGCCTTCATGCTCAACCCACCCAGCCGTATCCTGTGGCCTCGCACAATGCGGCTTTTGGTCTCAGTTGTCCTAGGTCCTAGGTCCTAGATCCCAGGATCCTTGCTCTTTGCTACCCGGCTACCGATGCAAAAACGCAGCCAAGCAGCCAAGCAGCCACGCAGCCTCTGTCCTTTTTGTCCCTGTGTTCTACTCGCCTCGTTTTTCCTCACTTTTTGCTAGAGTTTCCAGCTGACAGACTCAAAGGATACACTTTGGGGTAAGGTTAATTGGGTATTAATGCGATTACATCGATTTTAATACAAGTTGACAGTTAGTTAGTGCATCGATTGCAGCGTTTTTTTTAACCTTTTTTGAGGGAATCTGCAAAAATAAGTTAGAAAAATATGGAAAGAGTGAGTTTATAGTTTCAAAAGCTAAGATACTTTTCTATTTTTGAGGTGTTTGTAATTAATTTTAATATTATTATTGGAAAAGATAGAAGGGAGTTCCTTGCTTATAGCTTATAAAGTTATTGAATGCCTAGTACTAACTATGTTAGAGTATTAACTAGATGCTGATTTAAGCCTCAGATTATTATTTTTATTTTGAGTGTTTGTTGCTATCTCGGTTATTGTCATGGCAACGCTTTGAAAGGTAATATAAAAGCAATTAAGACTGTCTGGCGAAACTTAAGGTTAGCTGCTGGATTTCTAGTTATTAATGAATGCAATGGAGACCCAGAAAGTCGTTAATTTCGAAGGTTTTTCCTGCCTTTTTTTTTTTGGATAAAAAAGTAAGCAACGAGGCATTGCAAAAGGAACATCAAATCGCTTGAGGCTTTAAGAAAGCCACATTCTTGACATTTTCTTTCTTTTCTTCTTCTTCTTCTTCTATTTTAAACAGTCTACACCAGTCTGTGATCCAAGAATGTCATTTGACATTTCACCGAAAAAAGTCAGATGAAAAAAAAAAAAAGCAAAGCAAATAAAATAAAATATTATGCGAAGAGAAGCCGAACAAAAAATGAAGACAGACTTTGTTGTCCTTGTCAGCGTGGCTACAACTTCCTTGGCCCAGGACGATGACGACGACGACGGCGTCGGAAGTGCCAGCGGAAATGAGTAAAAAAACCTACGACTCACTCAAATTTGCCCGCTCTTTTGCCGACTGTTCCACTCGAACAAAAGGAGATTTCATCTCGAGTGCAAATCTGGCCACACACGACACGAACCAGCTTCGGCTGCCTTCGGCTAAACGCTCAGTGTTTCCACTCACTCGGCATTGAGCGTTTGTGGAGAGTCCTCAGAGTTGGCAACTTATGCGGGGAAAAAGCTAGAAGTTTAATTTAATTTTAATTTTATTAGTATATATTTTTTAATATTTTAGTTGTAAAATTTTAATAATTTGGGATTGAAAAATAGTTTGCACTTTTTCTTTGATAAATAAATTATTATTATATTATCATAAAACTCATATTAATTTGATTAACTTTATTTATATTAACATAATAAACTTTATTTTGTTATATAAAAAATATTGTCTGAATTTTTTAAAAAAAAAAAAAAAAAGATTGCAATTTTTTTATTTAATTTTAAGTTTATTTTTGCATTTATGAAAAACTTTTTGATAATAAAATTTTAAAGCCAATTAGCATTTTTATGACTTTTAAATGGCTATATCTTTAGTCGTAGCTATAGCTAAAAAATAGCTTCCAGTCTCCGAAAAGTGAGTACACGCCAAAATTATAAAATTCATGGAAGTCGAACCACGCTTTTTGAAAATTTTCATTTGATTTCAGCCTGTTAGCAGACTGGCTTGCGGATTTCTTATCTCGTTTAAAAAAAAATTCAAGGTAAGCAAATTTAAAATAAAAATGTATCTTTTCAAATTACTTTCAATGCTTTGTGCCCATCAGGATACTTAATTATCATGGAGTGTAATCTAAAGAAGGTGAAGGAGCTGGTAGAGATCTCGAAAAAGGAAATGAAGGCCTTGGTGAGGTTGGACAAGGTACTACGCCAGATCAAAGGTGGCCATGACTCCTCCGAAAGCTTGGAGACAAAGGTGCTTCTGCCGATTAGCGAAATGATGGATGATCTGATTACCTTGTTGCTACAGCTAGCGGCTTTGCAACCGAAATGTGACGCAGGTGATGAGGCTTCCAGGTTTGAGCTAACAAGAGGCTTGGACAGTGTCGTGGTAAATCTTCATTCCGTAAAGGAGAGGCTTGATTGTTGGCGAGAGGAACAGAATATTGAGATGAATACCATGATCGCGGGTATCAACGATTCCACTGTTTTTGAAATCTCAAATGCGGCACCCACTGCCCATGGGGTTAATCCTGATGGAGACGCTGAACCGGTCGATGAAAACGCTAAAGACGGCAATGAGAATGGTAAAGAAGATGCCAAGATGAACGCTGCCGAAGACGCATATGAGAAAGCTGAAAAAGAAGACAATGAGAAGGCTGTACTCGCTGATGGTAACGCTGAAGAAGACGTTAAAGAAGATGCTATCGAAGACGCTATTGATGAACCAATGACCACTTCCTATTAAGACAATATAAAAATAATTTTGTTTATATGTACTTTTGTAGATCTACGCCCAGCTTTTGAGGTTACCCACGCATCGCAATTGAAAAATAAAAACGATCTGGCAGCACCGCAATGAACATTCCATACATTTTTGCGTTGTCTATGTTTTATTCTTGCATTTTCGATCGTGTTAAGTATATAAATACATATATATATATATTCTTGATCAGGATTACTGGCTGAGCGGATTCAGATGAGCCTGCAAAAATGTCAAACTAAATGAAAGAAATAAACATGCACAGCCAGTTGAGGTATGTGCCTTAGTTTCACATTCTGCCAATAGATGGCTGTACAAAAAATTATGTGATGGAACATTTTAGACTTTTCATTTTAAAGGTTATATACTCTTACTCTGACTGCACGGCAATAACAAATAACTGGTAACCTTTAAGTTTAGTTATAGCTACTGGGTCTTAAGCTAACTAATGTGTTAAATTGATATGGCTTTATGACTGATATGGCTATTTAAATTTCTTGTTTTTGCCGAATTTATATATGATGGCACACTTTTGGTTCCCTTAAAGCATTTGAAGGAGGATAGACTCATAATTGCAGTTAAGAGAAGGAAATTGCTTTAATTAGAAAGGATGATCAGGTTTTTCACTGTCACTATAAGAGGATTAAAAGAATGTGGCATATGGATTTGATGCTGCTTCTAGCTTCTGCTTTGTTCCTAAGTTAGGTTGTTGTGACCAAATATTAATCGAAGGAACTTATCCACTAACTGATTAATTAATTAGGTGGTGTTATATTATAAAACATGGATAGTTATAATGATAGCGCCGTTGTAAGAATTCGATCCATCGGTGAATGAGAATGTAAGGAATGTAAAATCTCTATGAACTTCTCTTAGAGAAAGGAACTTTTTTAGAAATGCTGCTGCAGGAGTCGATTTTCAGTTCGATTTAGTAGAAAAATATAAAAAAATTAGTAAAAATCTTATGAAAATTGAGAAAAATCAGCTTAGTTCTTATCAGTACAAAAGAAAATATTTATAAAAAATAAATCTGTAAATATTAATAAGCAGAACTAAGCACACGGAAAATCTAGCCAAAGCTGGCGGGAAAACCAGCTGAATGAGCAGCGCTGCCACTGGCGAAGGCAGCAGTGGCAGCATCCGTTGTGGCAGCGGCAACAGTCGAGCGACAGACTCGCTGCAGCAGAGCCAGAAATTCCGGCATTACGTATACGCCCAGTCTACGTCGAGTTGGCCACGTGTACGGACACGCGGCGCGGTTGGCTTCCTACGTTGGATGCCCAGCATCTTCGTTACCAATATTTCATTACCAAAAACTTCGCGCTACGTTATTGCAAATGTAAATGCAAATTTCAAATAAAAAAAAACAAAACAAAACGATTTAGTGAAATGTTAAATATTTTTCTTTCTTAAATATTTACCTATAAAACATATATATATTTTTTTTGTTTGATTTTTTGTGTGGCAGTGCAAGTGTGTTAGTGTCAGTGGAATAAAGAGTGCCGGCTTGAAAAATGCGCGCCAAAAATTGAGAAATTTTCACAGGGCGCAGCAGCGGCAACGAAAAAAACAAAGAAAAACAACAACAAAAAATTTTGAAAAAAACCCGACCGAAGGAGAGAAACATAAATAGTAATATATAAATATTGAACAGATTGCGTATTTACATATATTTGATTGCAGCTTTACAATGTAAACAAATCGTTATTTTGTGCTTTGGCTAAAACAACAAATCCATTTGCCAATATTGACCAATAAATTAGCCAGCTAGTGACAATATGAAAGGGATCACAATGTAGATTCCTTTCATTGAATAAATAAATATACTTTTTGCAAAATAGGCAATAAATTTGAAAGGCAAATATTCTTTGCTTAGCTGTTTTACATATTATTTTTAAATTAAGTTTTAATTAACTAAAAGACAGCTTAAACTTTGTAGGAGCTAAAAGTTGTTCTGCTGTTTTCTTTTGAAAGCCAAAAAGGGGCAAGAAGGAAAGTGTAAAAGAGGAAAACTCTTATTTGGGAAAGTTAACTAACTATTATGTGGCTTGAAAGCTCTTTTAAAAAGTGTCATGTTCTTACTTAGTGAGTGATTATAAAAGAAAATTTAACTTGCTTGGAGTTATGACTACTTATTACTGCTAGTATTTGGAATTAAATCCTTAAATTAATTTACCATCACAACTAAAAAAACAAAAACAACTTACAAATTATTAATAAATTCATTTCATATAAGTAAATATTTCTCATTAATTTGTTCAACATTCTTCGCGAGAAAATATTTGCATATTAACATGTGTTTAAATCTTGTTTTTCCTCTGCCTGCCATTTAGCTTGTTGGGACTTTTCCAATAAATGTTTAATTTAAAGTTTTTTCCTCCTCGCATTCGTTTGGAAATTTGTACAGCATTTTCTGTGTATCCCGCGTATAGATAGGTTTTGGGGCCACTTAGCGAATTGGCGGACATATTTTTAGACATAGCCCAAATAGTAAAAAACAAAGGCACAACGACAACTACAACGAAAAACCAAACGAGGAATGGGAAAGAAAAGTCGAAAAACCGACGACAAGAACACTGAGGCGGCAATAGAGAATCGAGGAAAAATGAGAGAAATTCATTAATAAAAGACAGCAACAAAAAACAAGAGTAGAGAATTAAACGGCTGCCATCAAGCTTTTCTCCTACTCTCTCATCCATTTTCCTTACCCATACCATACCCCTTATCCGTTTTGCCTTGTCCGGCACAGCTGTGATCACAAGAAAAGAAAATGAAAAATTCAGCAAAAATGAAAATGAAAATTATTACATATGCGTAATGGGCATTTTGTTGTTGTTGCTGTTGCTGCTGCTGCTTATTGAAAAAGATTTTCCGAGCTACAACTACAACAATTTTGATAGCGACAACTTTGACGAAGGTTTTTCCTTTGGCTTTTCTTTAAATACCCTTGCCAAGCAACGTGAGCGGGCCGAACCTAAGCAATGATTAACTAAGGGTTAAAGATAAGTTTTTTTTAAGGATTTTCTCTCTTAGGAAAATGTTAATTTTAAATAGAATTTTCTTGTTTTTTATGTTCTCTTAATTTAAGCTAATTTAAAGGGTACTTAAGGGTACACTTACTTAATTTTCTTTGGCTTTTCTCTCACTTTGTGGCTGTCTCAATGAATTCACTAGACTTTCAATAGCCCCCTCCCTTTCCTACACTGTGCAGTCTATCTCTCTCTCTCGCTATTGGTGGCTGGCAAAGTTTTTTGCATTATGTTCATCGGTCGTCTGGTCTGGCGGTCTTCTATATCTTCTATATCCCATTCCCGCATATGTGGCTCAAGGCTATCGCACACACGCACTTTCAGCGCCCTCGTCGATTTCTTAGTTTTAGTTCTCGTTTTCCATTTTTCATTTTTCATTTTCCATATATATTTTCTTTAGTTTTTATACCCGTTACTCGTAGAGTAAAAGGGTATACTAGATTCGTTGAAAAGTATGTAACAGATAGAAGGAAGCTTTTGCGACCCTATGAAGTATATATATTCTTGATCAGGATCAATAGCGAAGTCGATTGAGCCATGTCCGTCTGTCCGTCCGTCCGTCCGTCCGTCCGTCCGTCCGTCCGTCCGTATGAACGCTGAGATCTCAGGAACTATAGCAGATACAAAGTTGAGATTAAGCATGAAGATTCTTGAGGTCCTGGGACAGCGCAAGTTTATTACAGCATCCTGCCACGCCCACTCTAACGCCCACAAATCGCCAAAAACTAAAATTGCTGAAATCTCAGGAACTATTGCAGTTAGAAAGTTGAAATTCAAAAAGTATAATCTTTAAATGGCAGCGCATCTTATAGTGGTACTACTATCCGGCCACACCCACCCATACGCCCACAAGGCTCAAAAGACGGTTTTCGGATTTTCTAGAAAATCTGATATCTCGGTAACTATAAAAGATAGAAAGTTCGGATTAAGCATGTAGGTTTCTATTATGCTTCCAATGCGAATTGTTTTTTTTCGATCCACGCCCACTCTAACGCCCACAAAACCTGAACAACCAAAAATGCAAAAATCTTAAAAACTATAAGAGCTACATAATTTTGTTTAGGATCACGTATTTAGGAGATGCCTTTGCAACTTTCCACGAAGTTGCATCCGGCCACGCCTACTCTGACGCCCACAAACCGCGGAAAACTGTGGCGTCTATAATATTATTATGAATGCCTTCGTTTGACCTTGTGTAACTTATTTCTGTTAATACCTATCGATTTACCAAAGATTTTTCAAATCGCAACATTATTTCGCTATTTATAAAGAAATTAACTTATAAGGGCTCACATGGGCAGTGACGTCACTGTAAGCATACTCAACATACTTCCTCTGACAATAGGTGGCGCCTTGTGAATTTCCACTAGCAAAATAATATTTTAAAATTTTGTAAAACAGTAACGGGTATCTTATGGTCGCGGCACTCGACTATAGCGTTTCCTCTTGTTTCTTCTTGTTTGCTCTCATTTTTGGTTTTCTTTATAATTTTCCTTCTTTTTTTATCCAACATGTTGCCCTCATAAATTTGTTTTTGGACCAAGCAAACAAAATGTTTGTGGTGAAGTTTTTTTTAGGGTAAGAAAAAAAAAAATGAAAAAATTTAAATGGTAATTAATTCCATGTTGACCCTGGCTGATGATGGAAGGTTTACTTTAGGGTTTTAGACTAGCTTAAAATAAGTTAGTTAAACTAAAGTTAAGTCAAGGAAATTGTGGCATAAATCAAAATAGTGGAGAAGGGAAAGAAAACTTACAAATTCTTAAATTGATTTTTGTTATTAATTCAAAAATTAATTTGTATTTTTTGACAGCTTTAAGGGTTCACTTTTTTAGTTCTTAAATTATTATTATTCTTAACAGATTTTAGTTTTATAAAACCACATAATAGAATTTCTTAAAATCCCCTCTTTTAACCCATTAAAGTTAACCATTTCCTTAGCCTTGATTTAATTTACTTTCCCCAGTTCTTGGCCCATTTACTTGTGGCTTTTAGTTTTTATCTCTGGCCGGATTAAGGATATTTGTTTGTTTTTTTTTTTTTGCTTTTTCAATTTTTCGTTACCATTTATTTCAATAAAATTAAGCCAGAAGTTTTTGTGCCGCTAAACCCCAAACTTCCTTTTACGATTTTCCTGCCTTTTGGTTAGCTTAACTGCCTTCCGCCTTCCGCCCCCTTTGGCCGCCCATTTCTTTTGTGTCCAAAGGAGCAACAGGTCGTCCTCCTCATTTGCTCGGGACTCTGGATTCCTTCTTATTTATTTGTCTTTCTCTGTATTATTTCCCACTTTTTTACCCACTTTTTGAAAGCCTTTCTGCATTGTGCTGAATTTTCCCGGCGATTTCGCGTGGAATGTGAAACTAATTGCAGCTGGATTTTTTGGGTGGGTGGAAGGCTTGGCCTCACGACTAATCAGAACGGAAAAAGAGCAGAAAATTCTGGAAATGGAAATGGGAATGGGCTTCATTTTTTTCCCTGTTTTTTTCTTTATTTTTTTTTTATGTATTTTGGTGGAGGAAAAGCCAAAAGAAAAACGATTTCAATAAATGTCATAAATTTGCCGGACAACTTGACAAAGGGAAAGGGCGGGGAGTGGTTGTTGGAAAAGCAAAGGAAATGGCTTTTCCCGCCTTCCGAAAAACCCGCTCTCCACCCTGATTATCGTCTGCTTTGCTGTCGGCTTGTAATCGCTTTCATTACAGCAGAAAAGTAAAAAGAAAAAAATGGGGAAAAACTGACCAGAAAAGAAAGCAAAAAAGTGAGGAAGGAGCAAAATGCAAAATGCCATGAAAATGGAAAACCAACATGGCCATTTCCACAAAGAAAGCGAGACGAGAGACGGCCAGATAAAGTACTGCTTTCACTTTTTGGCTTCTCCTTCATGTTGCCAGTAATTTATTTGATTATTTTTCTTCTACTTTTTTGTTGTTATTGTTGTTATTGTTGTTGTTGTTGTTGTACTTATTGTTGTTATTTATTTATAATGATGAATTTAAACTGCTGTCCTGCAGAGAATAGATCTTTCATAAATATATATCTTAACCACCTTACTGCGGTTTCGTTCAGATTTTTCTTGGCTTTTGTGCAGAGTTTTGACTTTTATTTTTTCTACTCTTTGCGGCCATTGCACAAATTTGGGCCACAACAAAGCCAAGCATGTAAAGTGAAAGATCTCATATATATATATATGTCTGATATATATATCTGATATATATACAGATATGTTGTGTGTATCTGCTGATTGTCAGGGGAGCTGTCGGCAATATGACCTGATTGCGGTTGTGCGTCTTCGAGTCTTAAGTGAATGTTTCAGGAAATGAAAAACAATGGAATGCAACGGAGCTGGCAATTAGCACAAACTTATGCTCAAAGTTGGGCTGGGTGAGGGGGGAAAAACAGAGGGTTTTGATGGGTAAATGTCAGGGAAATGAGAAAGCCTAGTCTTTACTAAGGATTTTAAATGATAAGCAACTTTTAAGAGTATTTTCTATGCTTTCTAAAAAAGTTTTTAAAGTTAAAATAAATCCCTAAAATATTTCTAACCAGCAGAGTTTGTTTTTTTGTAAACAAATTTCTCTCATATAATATTTTTTATAAATTTAAAAATAAGTTTAAAATATTTCTGATTAGTCAGCAAAATCGAACTGGAAAACTGAACTGACAAAAATTATGTTAGAAAACCATTTTTGCCTTAAAATTACTAAAATAAAGTTTTAAAATCTTTCTGATTAAAGTTTGTTAATAAAAATTACATAAAAAAAACACCTTAATTTCCTTTCCAACTTCTTTACATAGTAAATTTCGAAGAACAAAAGCCCAAAGCACACAAATATTATTTTAATTGCTGCATAAACATATTTTATATTTTATGAATATATTTTTTTTACTTTTTATGAAAGTCTAGCCAAGGGGAAAGTTGTGATCAATTAAAGTATTTTTGCAGCGAATTTTGCATGTTCCCCAAGGTATGGTAGTTTGGCTAAAAAATAAATATTATAAAAATAATAAAATATACAACCCGCTGGGCAACTATTTAGTTTTTAGCAAATTTGCCAAATACTCCCGCTCTATGATTTCTCATATCATGTTTCGGGCATTAAAATCCATTTGTTTTTCACTATGCAAAATCTCCATTATTTGCCAGCTTTGTGTGCGGAAAATGCAACTATGAAAATGGCCAGACTGGCATATTGTCAACGGGGGAAAATTGTGTTGAAATTTTGTGTCTAATCTTTTGTGTTTTTATCAGGCATAGAAATATACATATGCCTTTGGGTTAAATTAGCGAAATTACAAAATCGATGTTAGACACAAAACAAAAAAAAAAGAATAGAAAATCCATTACTAAAGGTGGACTGCGCTGTTGCAGCGCTGCTTTGGCTACGTTGACGTCAACCTTCGGAGCAAACTAAAAGAATTTGGTTCAAGTGCCAAATGAAATATTGACTAGGCAACGGCAACGGCAACGGCAACGGCATCGGCAACGAGCACTGTGAAGATGAGACTCTGAGACTATGAGATTCTGAGACACTGAGACTGTGAGACTGTGAGACTATGAGACACTGTGAGACTCTAAGAATCTGGGCATATGGCGGCGCGTGTGCGACCAGCTCCTCCCATTCCTTTAACCAAAACCAAGCCAATCGCCAACGCACATCTAAAATAATAATAAACATGGCAAATATTCATTCCTCATAGACTAAGGGGTAGCAGGTGGATCATATATGCTTATGTTCAGCTTGTTACCCAATTTAATGATAACATAAAAGATAATTAAGGTGTCTGCTGAGAAGATGCTGCCCAAATAACAGCCACATTTTATGGGTTTTTGTCTTAATGCAAAGTTAATTAATGATGCTTGCTGATGGTTATCATAGCTGAGACTAGAATTTACTTCGATTTAGTTCTTAATTATCATTAAACTTATCCTTATCCTTACTATTATATTGAAATCAACTTACATTTTTATAGATCCAATCCCTAGAGGATGTCCCAATAGTCGTTGCCTTTCCTTCCGATTTCCCAAGCTCATCGCGTGCTTAGAGAGTGTGCCAGAGTCATGTCGGTTGTTGCTGTTGCGCGCCTGATGTTGCTGCCGTGATGATGATGATGATGTTGCTGTTGGCACTGTAGTTGCGACAACTACATAAACAGCTGTCATGGCCCTGCGACCGCTGCAGTTTTTGTTTTGCTCTTCAGTTTCAGTTTTCTTTCTTTTTCTTTCTTTGCTGTTGTAGTTGAGCGTTTCGCCATCTCTTTCCATCGGCCTCGTGGCTTCTTCGTCGTCTGCTTCTTTCTAATAATAAATTGCTTAAGAATTTGTGTTTGCCAGCAGCAGTGACAAACACATGTCTGCTTTTTATTTTATTTAGCCATCATCTTTCCTAGCCAAGCATCTTAAAGGTGCAATATCCAAGTCATTTTTCACTTTCACTTTTTAGCCCCTTTCATAATTTTCCCAATCCTTTGTTGTTGCTTTTGTTTTTGCTTTTGCTTTTGCTTTTGCAACAGCGATAATCAGCTTTAACATAATGCGAATTTTCTGAGCCCTCGGGGTTATGAGTTCTGAGTTGGCTATAAACTTGCATAGCTTGTAAGAGGCGTCAAGGTTAGCCATGTACAGTCCCTGTCAAACTGTAAACTATTTTTTGAGTTTAAAGAATTTTAAGAGAATTTTTGCAGGTTTATGTCTAAATTTTTGTTAATTTTTTAGCCATGTTTATGTGCTGTTTTCTAGCTACTTTTTAGCTGGATTTGTGCTCTTTTCTAGCTGCTTTTTAGCTGGATTTTCCTGTAAAAAAAAAGATTTTGCTTAAATTAGTTTTTACTTTGACTTAATTTACAAAAATTATCATTAATTTTTGTATATTTTAATTAATTTCTTTCATTCTTCTCTTTCTGATTTAAACTTTCATATTTCATATTTTCTGACAGCCCTTTTGATTTCCGTTCCTGCACTTTTCCGGCTGACTGTGGGAGATTCTTGGAAATTTGTGTCGCCAAAAAGTTTTCGTCATCCTCTTGATCGCGACGGCTCTTAATTGAGTTTCACCAAGAAATATGCAGATATATATATAATATACTATATTCCATATACTATATATATGTGTGTGTTTGTGGGGAAAATAAAATAAAATAATATTTGAGATTCGAATTTTGCAAATTGTGCAAGTTGTACGTGTTTTGTTGCTCTCTTCTTCTTCAATTTGTTGTTGCCCTAATTGTTGTTGTTGTTATTGTTGTTATTGCCGCAAAGGACAACAACAATGTAGAGAAAAGTGGGAAAAAAAATGAACTGAGAACTGCAGAAAGTTTTTCCTTTCCGTTGAGCGTTTTTCAATTGCTCCAAAAACTATTTTACTTACGCTCAACTTTCACTTACCAAATGGTGGCAAACTTTTCACGGCAACTGTATGCCAAGCCAAAATGGGCATTCTATGTACCTTGATGTTCAGTTATATAGAGCTGAGAGTGATCTGAAATTAAGGATATAGAAAATGTCAAAGAAGTTCTTTAAAGTAATGAAATTTTTAAAGAAAAATCTATAAAAAAAAACACCGAAATTGCAATGGAAAAATCAACAAAAACTTTAAAATATTCTTAAAAAAATAAATACACATCCTTTTCCGTTAGTTAGTAATAAATATTATTAGCCAAATGGAATAAATATTAAAAATATTAAATGAAAATTCCATATCCAAGCCTTGCCTTTTACTTTTTTGACGCTTAAAACTTAGCTTAGGCTTTGTTTTTATTTTTTAACTTTCTTTGATCCTATTATCTTGACCACTGCTGTTGGCCCTATATCTATATGCCTGTCTGCCTGTCTGACTCGCTTTCCACTGCGAGATATTAATTAATAATTGAAATAACTGAGCTCGTTATAAAGTGAGGCACTTTCGGGCCGTTGTACAAAAGCACCCCCTACTGGATGGGCAACCGTATGTGCAGGCACACACTCTCTCCCTGTGTGTCTGGGTGTGTGTGTGCAGTTTCAAGTTTAATTTAAAGTTTAGTTGTAATTTTGAAAATTTTTCGTTGCGAGGGCAATTAAAAATTCAACGCGCAATCTACGAAATGAACCCCCCAAAAGAGCAGTGAGCAAAAAACAGAAGCCGCCGCTTCAGCTGTGAACATTTTTTTGTGTTTTCCCAGCCTGGAGGAGTCATTTGGCAGCTTTCCACGGCTCTCTCTCTCTCTCTCTCTGTCTCACTCTATTTATTTATTTATTTATATGAATCTGCTGCCTTAATGCTTGCCACACAAATAAATGATGAACATTTTCCGCTTAATCTTTTCCAGAATAATCTAAAGTGCATAGTTGGCGATAAATATTATATATGCAGGGGAGATCTAAGGAGGGGAAAAATTAAAAAATAAATGGCGCATGATTAACAAGAAAAGCGTCGGGATTTTTGCGGTAAGTGTTAAATATGCTTATTAATTAATGCCACAAAAATATCCACAAAAATCCAACCAGCAAAATGAAGCGGCCAAAAGCCGCAGTTTTTGATGTTTGCTTGTAGTTAACCATAAATTAAGCGGCCGCAAAACAATTGCACTTGTTAGCACCGCAAGCGTATTTATATTAATGAAATAAATTATCTAAAAAAAAAAAGGGGGAATATTACTAGGGGGGTGAAATACAGTAAACAGGCGGATTTTATGGGCCTCCGGGCTGTTATCTCGAATGGCATTTCAGTACTCTTACAAATTTATGTGTTTAATTTAACAATTGTATTTATATTTTTGACATTCACTATCATTGTATTTGTGTTTGCTAATTTATTTTATAATTTTTTTGATTATTTCCTAATTAATTCACAATATTTGCTGACACTTTCTGCCCGAAACATCTACATTTATAACAATGATTATTATTTTGTACTTAGTAAATAATTTTGTGATTTTCTGAAATGCTATTTATTGACAGATTTAAGCAGCTTCTGATTTTGACGATTTTTAGATTAATTTTCCGTAATTACTTTTCCCTTCAATCATCTCCATTTTATGTTGATTTTTGGTTAGCAAAACCCTTTGTCTTCTTACTTAATTTACTTAATAAATATTAGTTTTGCTCTTCCGATTAGTAATTATTTTTGCCTAAAAACTGCCTTAAGCGAAATTATTTAAATGATTACATTTTAGTTTTGTTTTCCTTTTTCCAGCTTTGAGCTTGGCTTTCCCCATCTTTCTTTTTAGAATATTTGTCAAAGGGAAACTAGTTTACTGATTTAATCAACAGAAAGTTTTTCTTCGAATATATTTTCTTCCTTTTTTCTTAATTGCTCAAAATTGTGAGTTTTCATTTACACCTTTTTTTTTTTTGGCACTTCAACTTAATTTGCTGGAATATTTGTCATGCGAATTGTTGTAAATTATTGTATTTTGTATTGGCTTCGTTTAGCCTCTCTCTTTCAGATTGATTCTGCCATTTATTTTCTCAAGTAATTTGCTTTTACTGGCAAAGGTTTTGATTTAATATCGAATTCCACGTTTTGCCAGTTGACTATTTTGGCAGATTTTTGCTGGCTTTTCCCTGTCCTGGCCCTGCCAATGCAGCTGTGAAAAGTCTAGCCTATCTATGTGGGCACACGAAGTATCTATGTTTGTCCCTCCGGACGTATGCGTGTTTTTTGTGCCAGTGTGTGCGTGTATATGTGGTAGGTACTGCGTGCGTGTGAATACGAATGCGTTATATTCGCCCAACTGTGCAAAAACAATTCGCGCGCCACTTTGCGCCATAAAAAATGAAAACAAAAAAATCTAAAAAAAAAAACAAAAAAAAAAGAAAAGGAACGCAGAGATATTTAATACATATAAGAGTACCTACACACACACAGTGACATAGATATATGCATGTAGACGGGGAAAGCTGAACGAAACGCAACCAAAAACCCATTTTTGCATTTAAAGTTTTGGGCATTTTATTGCCCCGGGCCAGCTTTTTGCCTGGTAATGGCAAAAAGTATCCTTAGCCGTGGTCCTTCCTTCCATGTTGTTTCAATTTCGCCACCCCAAAATTTTCTTTTTCCCAGCTCGGCTTTATTTTCTGTGTTTTTCTTTTTCTTTTTTTTTTTTGGCGGTCGTCGAATGCCCCAGTGAAATATGATAAAAGTCAGACGCGACGCAACGCGGCCCTCCGCTGCGGCGCTTTGCGTTTTGATTTGTGTTGCTGACCCAAAAAAAAACAAAAAATTAAAAAACATACATATATATATATATATACGTACAGGGGGAGGGGACAAGGAAAAAAATCCATCAAAACTCAGAGAAAAGCTGTGAAAAAATCGGGCATGCTTTTTGTAAGTACCATGATCCTATTTCTTGAACCTTAATCAGGGTTTTCCTTTTTGCTCAAACATTTAATTGTATAAATAATTGCAGCGCAGAGAGCTTGTTTCCTGAGTGTGCCTTAAAAAGTTTAAGCCCTTTACATATTTCATTACCCTAAATATGATTTCAGTTAGTATGGATGGGGCAGTGGTAGTTTTCCTAGATTTTTTGCTCTCTGCAAGAAAAGGGAAAATACATAGAAAAAAAAAACAGCGAATTGCAAAAGAATATTCTGGGAAAACGTGGAAAATGTTAGGCAAAAAACAAGCAAAGATGCGAAAATATTAAAGCCCAATGGCAGGCACCTATTCTCCATTAAGTTGAGATGACCAAAAGTTTGTGCTTGGCGAATTAGTTTCGACTTATTAGCTTAGTGGCCAAAAATGTAAACTTTAGCCACACTGAACAGACTTCATTACGTGTTTGTTCACACTAATTATTAAGAGAAATGCAGCCACACTGGCACAAAATTAGTTTTTCATAGTAAAAGATATCAAAATTTAGGCAAATATTTGCCTTAACTTCTCATTAAGATCATAAAAAGTTGGTTTTCGTAATTAAAAGGTTTAGAAAGCTGAATTTCATTCAGCAAACATTTTCTTTTATTAAGACATTCACGCAATATAGATTCACGGAAATGTGAAACATACATCAGCGTATATCAATCTGAAGTGAAAGCTACAACAGGCCATGAATAACCATCAAGGACTATTTTTCCCTGGCTGATTTAGTGACTTTGAGGGGAGATTTTCGCGAGATTTTCCGGCCAACACTTGGGAGCAGCACGGAAAAACCAACGGAATATCAAGGATGCTTATCGACAAATAAATTCTTTGCCCTGTCAAATGCCCTGTGCAATGGGCCAAGTGGGTGGTGGTTCTCCCTACTCCCCTTCCAGCGATGGTATACGGCGGCGGGATATAATAAATAGCCTGACATAGTAATGCCACAGACACTAACTCACAACTGTTGTTATTGTTGTTGGCCCTTCGAGTCCTCGACCGAAAAGTTGACGCCTATAAAACGGATATGGATGTGCACCAAACTGTGGCATACTTTTCTGCCTCCCAGCAATGCCACCACCACCACCACCCACAATACCACGCCTCTCCAAAAGTGTTGACAAATTTATGAGCTTGTTTTGCTTTTTCGCAATTTTTGTTCGGCTGATTGAAAGTTTTCTTTATTTTCGCCGCCAGGCAAATTGATGACAACCGTAGAGAGTGGGACCAGACCAGACCAGACAGCTTAATCGGTCGTGTTCTATATTTAGTTATATATTAATAATGGCTTTGATTGATTTGCCAGACTAAATCAAACAGCCAGCTACTAGCATAGCTTGCCAGCTCAGAGAATATTTGAATATTTGATTGCTTTTCAGAGGTTTTTTGGTTATCTTTTCAGTAGAATAGTGACTTTGATATGGTCACACTGCTTCGATAAACACATTCGGAATTCTTGTATAATCAGTGAAATATTTCTTTATTACTTTGGAATAGTTAACGATTAATTCACACTTGCTTCTCTATATATTCTTTGAAAAAGTGACATCAAAAAAAAAAAAATAATCATTCTATAGTACCAATTAGGTTTTGCTTTTGTGGCATGTGGCATGGCCACACTGGCATGACGCAACATTTAGTTGCGCTTGGCGTCACAGTTGGTGACGAGGCTGGCCAGGCGGCAGGCCTTCAGCTGGCGATCGAACCAATAGCCACTGGGGCAAGTCGAGCGCCTGGACCTCTGCCTATTGCACACGTAGTAGCGGCGACAGTGACGGACATCGGCCAAGAAGGTTCCGTCTTCCTGACCACGGCAATCGTGGCGAGAGATCAGCACTTGGGCAATAGGCTCTATTAGGGTGCCATTGCTGGATCCACTTCCGGATCCACCTCCGCTAATTTCTTCATCGTTCTTTGGCGGGCAAGTGGTTGTGGTACAGGAAGTGGTGGTGGTGCATGGTGGTGGCTTCTTGGTGCAGGGTGGTGGTGGTGGTGTCCTGGTGCAGGGAGGAGGTGGTGGCGTCCTGGTGCATGGTGGTGGGGGGAGGTGGTGTCCTGGTGCAGGGGCGTGGTGGTGGTGTCCTTGTGCATGGCGGTGGTGGTGGTGGGGTTCTGGTGCATGGCGGTGGTGGTGGTGGGGTTCTGGTGCAAGGACGTGGTGGCGGTGTCCTGGTGCATGGCGGTGGAGGAGGTGGTCGGCAAGTGGTAGTGGTACATGGTGGAGGAGGAGGTGGTCGGCAAGTGGTAGTGGTACATGGTGGAGGAGGAGGTGGTCGACAAGTGGTAGTGGTACATGGTGGAGGAGGAGGTGGTCGACAAGTGGTAGTGGTACATGGTGGAGGAGGTGGAGTACAGGGTGGAGTTTCTACCCTAGGTCGATGGGCCAAAGCCTCTCGACCGCCGGCAATAGCCGCCAGGCCAAATCCAATCAGCAGCAAGTGGTCTACAGGAAAAAAAAGCACAAGAAAAAAAAAATAAACACTCCATAAGTTTCTTCGATCGAAGGATGTGTCCCGGAGCTACCCACAAACTCTCATGTTGCGTTCGGTAATGCTTCTGCTACTGCAGTTTCAACTTCTCTGCCGGATAACGAATGTGGTTTCCTCTCCGATCTCGGCTCTTTATATATCGCTCGGCTGACTAGATTTTATCTTTGCCTTCGGGGAACAAGGAAAGCACTTGAGATCGCTGGAGTGGTACATGCATAGATGGTCCATGATCTTCCCTCTTGGTTTTCGCCACTCTGCTAATTAACCAAAATAACTAACTGGTCGGGTTAAGGGTTCCGCGTTTTTCTTTCCATGTTAACAAACTGTTTTGCAACGTTTTCTTCTACGCTGTTTGCTTTTGACTTGCTTTGGAAAATTCTAACATGACTTACATTTTTCTTTGGCACGTGAAAATGACGTAAAAAGTCATTATCTTATCCATATAGAACGGTTTTTGCAATAAACACTAATTTTTCCATTTATTTCAAGGGGTCTTCTATCGCGAGTTATGGACAGAGTACTGACAGATTAGAGGGAAAATAAGGTGAAATAAAATCTCGCATTTTCGATAAGGGGTAATTACGAAGAAACATCATCAAAATTTTCAACAAATGAGCCAAAATCTAGACTTTTAGCTGTGAATGCAGTTTTGTTGGAAATTTAATTACGAATCCAACGAGGTATTACATTTCATATTCTGACTATTATTGGCTGAGTTATGGGAAAAATAATCTCACTTTGGGGCAAGTAAGGAGAACCCAAAAATCGCATTTTTGATAAGGGGTACCATCATCAAAATTTTCGAAAAATGGGCCAAAAATGAAGTTTCCCAGATTTGAATGCAAATCAATTGGGAATCATGGCAATCAAGTTACGAGCCCTACGAGGTATTACATTCACCATTTGGACCATTTTTGGCTGTGCTATGGCTAAAAAACTGAAATTTTTGCGCCCAAAATCAAGTATACGCCTTTTAGCAGCGGATAGCCCGGCCTCCTTGCAGTTTCTTAGCTCTAACTTTGCTCAGAAGAGACGCACAGCTAAAACAATGACTGTTTTATGCAGCTAACAACCAACACTTTAAGCCCCTATACCCACTTTTTACAGTGGTGTACTGCTCTTTTGCTGAGAGTGCTGATTTCATGGCTAAAATATCAAAATGCAATATTTGTTGCGGGTTTTCAGCTCTAGCTCGGCCAAAACAAGACCCACAGCCAAAAGAACGACTGTTTCGTGCTGCTAACGACCAACACTAACCACCCCTATCACTCGATTTTCGATTTTGGGAAAGTCAATTTTGACCCAAATTTCGCATTTTCGATAAAATTTCATCAAAATCATCAAAATTTTCAAAAATGGCCCAAATTTGGCATTTCAAACTGTGAATGCAGTTTTGATAAGAACAAGAAAACAAGCTCAACGAGGTATTACATTCCATATTTGGACCAATATTGGCCAAATTATGAGCAAAATGCTGTCGTTTTGGGGGCCAAATGTTGAGAAACCGAAATTCGCATTTTTGATGAAGGGTAACATCATCAAAGGCCAAAAATTTTACATCTTTACATGCAATTATGTTAAGAATTTATTTACAAGCTCAACGAGTTATGAGATTGCCTTTTACAATAACTTTTGGCGTTGCAGTGGCTAAAACACTTAGACTTTCTTAGACCAAAATCAAGCCTTTCGACGGAAGCTCTATTTGGTTTCTTGGTTGTAACTTTGCCAAAACAAAACTCACAGCTAGAGAACTAACAGTTTTAAGCAGCTAACGACTGTAACTAACAAAACTAATTAATTATTAAAAACATTAGGAATTTTCCCTATTGATTTAGAACAAATTGATTCCCAGAGGTTGATTTCCCACAGTGAACTCCTCCATTCGATCGGTACACCGATGGTATTGACATTTGGCCCGGGTCATTTGGCCATTCCGTACGCAGTCTGTAAAATAGTTGAAATTGCCTGTTAACTGATTTCGCAGGTCCAGTCCTCCTTTTCTTCTCCTTTTTTTTTGGGCATTGCGCCTTGACTCCGGGCCAGGGCAAACAAGAGATTTCGGTTTATGGCCCCCCATACCGGAAGTGTTAGGCCAAGTGGCCAACTGGCCAAGTGGCCAAGTGGCCAAATGGCCAGAAGCGGACGGTTGGACAAGTGTCGGCCATTTGGCAGCCGATAAAAATGGCAAAGAGCCTAAGGGGGTGTGTGTATGGGTATGCGTAATAATTTCCCTTCATCAAACTCTTCCTCTTCTCCGTTTTCCGAACAAGCAGAACTCCTGAAATTTCCTGCAGAGCGCGGTTGTAAAAACAAAAAGGACTTCCATAGGCCCGTGTGTCCCGCATATCCTGGACAGCTCAAAGGGAGCGGTGGGTGGTGGGGGGTTGAGTGGTACGACAACGAGGGGAAAAAACAGTTCTGGACAGTTGGCAAAAGTTTTGTAATTAAATATGGTTGTTGCAGTTAAGATTTATGAGCGATTTTTATACCAATTACCCAGTGCTCGCTGAGTTTTATGGGCCAAGCGAAGTTTTTGTTCTTCAAAAGAATTGTAACAAAAATGATTTTATGACTTAAATAGTTATATTACTGTATGTTTTGGCCAATAAACTTAACTTCTTACAGGGTATTCTTCAACCTTGTCATATTTTTCCACACTTTCAGCAGTTCACAGAAGGCAAACAAAGTGGCGATGACACAAATCTGGCCACATTCACCCGCATCCGGCGACAGCCTTCAATCCCATGCCATGCCACTTCCTGATACTGCTGCCCTTTGAACCCTCCCACGCACTGCGCGATCGTAAATAATTATTTATTTAAAGTGTAGAATATTTGCAAACGGCATAAGCAAACAGAATCAATTGTTGTCGCATTGGAATATTTATGCACGCATTTATATTCCGACATCTGTTGGACTTTGGCGTTGCCTTTTTCTCACTTTTTCTCCTTTCTGGTTTGGAAAAATGATATGTGAGTTGAGTTTTTAATTTATATTCAAAAAAATAAAAAAAAAAAGAAGAGGATTTTAAGCCTCGAAACTTTCATTCGTTATGGTTCAATTGGATTGAGTTTAATTCACTTTGTTTCATTCACTTAGCACTCGTAAAGCTACACCCACGCCAGCCAGCCAACACGACTTGGCCATTTGCCGAGCAAAATTACTCATACGCAGCGTGTGATGTGAATATTAAAAAGCAGCAAAAGTTTATGATAAATCCGCCTTTACTCGTCTGCCACTCTGCACAAGTGTTTATATATATATAAAGATATAGTTTGGGGGAAAACAATCTGAGATTATGAATGAACTTTGGCCAGTTGGCTTGGACGGAGATATGCAGAAAATAGTTGAGTTTCTTCTTCGAGATTATGAATGAATCACTTTGCGGCTAAAAAGTTGGCTGTGATTTAAGCGATAGCCGAGAAACTTTCCAGACTACCAAGTGGTTTAGAAACTTTAAGGAGTGTTTAATCATTACCAGGATTCTCAGATTGGTTTGCCTTTGATGCATCCTAACTTATGATGGGCGGTGTGGGGTTAACTTCAAGTTCTTGATAATTATATATGAAAAAGAGTAGTTTTTATAGCCCAAAAGAGTTTACTCTCTTCTTTGACTTTTCTATCTTATTGAATTATGTGACAAATTGAATATAAAATATATTTTAAAGCTCACACACAGAGAGTTGTTGGCAACCCAATTATTTTGGTTTTGCTACCTGAAAGTGGCAGCTACACCTTAGCCAAGGCATTTTTGAAGTTATCTCTGGCCAGGCAGAGAGACCATCTCAATGAATTAGTCGAGCAACATAAATTAAGCACTTAAGTGCTGTAAAGTTTTTCCTTAAGCGGAGGCAGCAGCTTCCCTACGGCAGGAAAGATGACCTCGCCCAGGAAAAGACAAACAGAGACACGGCTCAATGGAAATGACCATCTTTCTTCTCACACTCCTTCAGAGACCCAGATGAAGAATGGGAAATTAAATTAAGCACACTCTCTCTCACACACACATGGCTGTTTGTCTAAGGAAGGATTGGATTTAAGGACTGTTTGTGCAAGGACATTGTATAAACAATTTCCCAGTGTGTGTGTGCTACGAGGCATTGTAAAACTCATTAGTGAAGTGACCGGAAATCTTATGAAATCTACAAAAAAAAAAAAGTAAGAAACAAAGTAACAACGAAACCGAAAATAAAATACAACCTAAAAGGCTTGAGCTGGGAATGCACTGAGAAGAAGTTTACATTAAAAACTATAAAGGAAAAGCAGGAAAAAGGGAAATTATGATTCTAAAATCATGATTATTGCTTAACTTCTTTGTTATGACATACTTTCTTTATCAACTTTAAACTTTCCTTTTGATCTAAACTTTGATTAAACTAACTTAAGCAAGCACCTTTTCTCTCGCTGTGTAAGAGCGGACTCTTCAGGGCGGTCGAGTGGGTGGTGGCCTGTGACAGGTTGGAGCAGTCATGCATGTACTTCAATTTTTCAGCAGAAATGAGTGCACATTTGACAAAACACACACTAGCTCACACCTTGCGTTGGGAGCCCGTGGAGCCCGGGAGTCGAATCCCTGCAGGACATATGTCCTGTCCCTTTACTCAACATGGTTTTTTATCAGCTGACGCTTCGAGCGGGCCAAACTCCAGGCACGAAAATATATGAAAACTTTGCACAAATATGTCCTGTCTGCCCGTTGTACGTGTATGTGTATGTGTACGTGTACGTGTGTGTGTGTGTGCGTGCCGCTGCCAGTGTATGGGTGTGTCTATGGTAGCCTAATTCCAGCTCATATTTTATAACAGCAGCAGAATCACTGCATCGGACCATACACACCCATACACACACACACACATCGTTTTCTGCCAAGACAGCAAAATAAACCAACAGACAGCAGGCAGAGAAAAAGCAAACTATAAAAGCAGGAAAAATAAAACCAAAAACCAAAGGAAAAGCCGAAAAAAAGAAATCTGTAAACAAGACAGGGAACAGGGAAACTGTAAGGGAACTGTAACCTACGTGGCAATCGGCTATGGGCCAAAATCAGGTGGCTAACTGGGCTAAGATCCCATCCACAAAATTAATACCAAACACGAGCCCTGCGACATTTTCACTCAAGTAGAAA